TATATATATATATATATATATATATATATATATAATATTAAAATAGAGGTCATTCCACTATCTATAATCTTGTTATCCCACTTTTAGGGACGGTCGCTCCGCTGTGCTATCTAGTATTGAGAATTATGTTGTTAAGTGGGATGGTTTGCTTATGGAAGGTAATAGGCTAGTGGACAAGAGGCTTTTAGTGACTAAAGGTATGTTGATAGTGGCAGAGGGGAGGGAGACACTTGTAAAGACACTCTAACATACAAGTTAGAGAGAAATTTAGGTAAAGAATTAAAATAGGGTTAGAGTGATATATGATGTCCCATATATAAGGGATTTATAATGTTGCATGATTTTAAAGAGAATCTTGCATGATATTTGTGAATAAGTTCCTATGATTGCACATTATGTTTAATGGTTGGGATATTATCCTTGATGTGTCACTCTTTAATTTATTTCATACTTCCTAGAGATAGTGTGAGAGCTATCCCTAGACTAACGTGATATTCTGGATCGAATATAGTGAACTCAACTCAATAGGGTTAGATTCATGATGAGCTCAGCTGGATCCACCTGAGTTGAACGGTAAAACACTAAATTAAAGTTGCTCTTATATCACAACTTACCCATTTCAATTTTTTTTTAACTTTATACAACTTAGAAATTCATAAATTTTTATAAACAACATAAAAGAGCAAGTCCTGTTTGTAGTTCACAACATTGTCTTTTAAAAAATATATTACAAAAAAAATTACCCGTAACAAGTTAAAAAGCATCTTGCTTCCTATTTGCTCCAGTTACCTGTTACTTTCAATCAAAAGTAAACAAAACTGTGTTCTAGAAATAATAAGAACAATCCAAATAAGTATTATTTGTATTTAAGATAGTTAGTTGTTATAATGTTCAATACGTTAAAAAATTCAGTATCGACCCAATTTTACAGATAACTAACACCTTCATACTTCTTGACATAATTTTTGATACATGTAATTCGCAGCTATAGTTGTATCCCTGGTACAGCTTGTCATCAAGACTCCACTAGTTTCAGGCGCCTTTCGCATCAAGGGCTTTGTTACATTAGAAATTCATCCAATTTTTTGGCTATTAAAGTTATATGATCATACAACTGATAAACATGAGAAAGCACACGCCTTTTTATGCAAAACATATATTAAAGATATATTATTTCATTCGTATTTGTAACATGGTGGCCATCTTCATAAACACAACTTTGCAGTTGAATGTGTTTTTTGCAACCTAATCCCCAATAAAGAAATAACGCTACTTACACTAATAATCTTCACACAGGAAACAGCCAGTCATTCGAGACTGGTGAATGATGGACCATTTCTGACCTCCACACTAAACTCCGCAAAGGAATATTCAAATTTCCAACACACTAATCATTTGTTTGAATAACCATGACATAGTAATAGGAAAACCAATGCCCTTAAACATAAGCATGTGAATCACAGGGCCAAAAGTTGCACATATAAGATTTTCAACTAATAAATAAAAATGAAGATGGGACTACAAGATAAACATAACCATACACTAAACTGAAATTTAGGTAAAAAAATCAAAGAACTACTATCATATACAAGGTTCATCAGCAATCAATAGCCCTTGCAAGTTGCAACAAAATATATTATTCAACAAACTGGGTTCCCATTGCATGAAATCAAACCGTTACCAGTTATGAAGAAACAGAGAATTTAATAGGATTTTACGGTAAAGTAGTAATATAATAATAATAGTGATTGAAAAAAGAACAGTGACAAGGAATTTGAATATGTGAAGCAAGTTTGCATTTAACAATACCAACTAGAAAATAAGAGACTACACTAGAAATTTTCAACAAGTTCCATCATATAATGTGAGTTGAGTTTAACCGTGATATTTGAGGTCCTCGAGGGCACAGAATTACATAAGTAGAGTGGTTAGTGAGCTAATTACAGTGTTGAAATTCAATTGGAAAGAGAATTATTATTGTTATAAACAAAAGAATGAACTAATATGAGCCTTCAAGAGGCGAAACCCACATGTTAGTCACTGCAAAAGTCAACAAACCCATAAAATCAAAATCCAGCGTCAACTTTCCGCTTCCCATTGTGACGCACCTTGCCATTCTCAATAACCTTGTACGAATCTGCCGTAACCTCCGTCAACCACAGCCCAGGGAAAAGCGTCTGCACCAAAAAAAAAATAAGACGCCGTTAAATTTAACTCCATGGAAAACAGAAAACACGGATTTAAAAGGCGGCGATTACTCACATCCAACTGCTTCTGCACGAGTTTGGGCCTCTTATTGGGCCTCCGGGGAGGCCGGTGGCCCAAGATGGCCACGAAATCTTCCTCAACCTCTTTCCTCGATAGCTGGAAAGAGAACTTGACCTTTACCGTCTTGTCGGATCCGCTTCTCAGTTGCGGCAACTTGGACGCGCCGTCGTGTCTCGGCGGCTGCGGCTGCGGCTGCGGCTGCGGCTGCGGCTGCGGCTGCGGCTGCGGCTGCGGCGGCGAGTGGTTTCGCTTCTTGTCGCCGATCTTCAACGCGTCGGGCACCGGAGCCTCAACCTTGGCTCTTCTCTTCCTCAGATTCCACGGCCTCACAGCTTCTTCTTCGCTTCGTAGAATCGCGTCTTTCATTCTATCCGCTTCGGTCTTCAGATCGAGGATCAGCCTCTGCCGCACCACCGCGATCCCGTCCCCGTCGCCGCCGTGTCGCCGCTTTTCACCGGATTCCCTGCTCCACGTGGCCGTTGATTCGTCGGAGTTCGACGCCGAAGAGCGG